CCAACCCAAATTAAACATTTAGTTTAATTAAACATGCTCTCTATCATGCCAATAATAAAAGTATGGTTCATAACCAACATGCCAAAATAATTAATTCCAATCACCAATTCACCATAAATAATTCATACATCACAATTCAATCATCAACATCAATCCAATCAACAAATTCCAATCAACACATATCATGATACTACTTGGAATTCATTCATCAAAGCCTAGCATGCTCCTACACCTTCGAATAAATACCAAGTACGCGAACGTACCTTGAATATGATATCAAAATTGCCACGACTAAATAAAATCTCTCACTTGGAAGTCTCCTACAAACCAAAATTATAAAGAAGTATTAATACCTCTTTCACACAAATTTTCAGCAATATATACTCTCTTTAAATCACTCATAAACCCTCTAAAGTAATCTGAAATTTTATTTAAAACCCTTACTTTTATTCCCAATTAATGGGTAATTAAAAATCCTTTCAAAAAACATAATTATAGCTTATATATAAAAATTCCAACATTATTCAAACTTATAAAATTGCTGTAATTTAGTTTTAAAACATTAATTTCAATAGTTTTAATCAACCACAATCAAATTCCATCAATAAAAATTAATTTAGAAACCTAGGGTTTTCAATTTGGGGCTTTTTGATTAAAAACTAAATCTGAAAATTATATTAAAACATTAATCCTTCAATAAAAATCAAAAACTGCCCGAAAAAACCATATTTCGAGGCTGAATTTGGCCACGAGAGGGTGGTGCTCACTATCAGAGGTAGTGAGATTTGATTAAAACGTTTTTTACACACGAAAAACACTATATTTTTTTGTAAAAATCGGACGAGTTAGAATCTAAACGTGATTAAAAATAAAGGGGAAGGGGAAAAATTAAGGGGAAAGGGAAATAAGAGGAGAGAGAATTTACCTTTAGGTGCACTCCACTCTAGGCATATGATGGGTATTTATAACTACTCTCATAACCTCCTACTTACTACCCTTAATAATCCCTTTCCTACTCAAACTAGGATTCCTAATCAAACTAGGATTTTGACTTTCCTTAAAACTTTGGCTTTTAAAAATTATCTTTTATAAAATAATATGCTCCAATATTTTCAAATCATAAATTAAAATATTTTCAAGATTATATAAATAATTAAAAATATACTTTTAATTAAAATCATTCTATTTAAATTCATGAAAACCCTAAATAATTCATTTCAAATTATTTAAATATTTTAGATAATACTCTATTTAAATTAGAAATATGTATAAAAATACGGGGTATTACAATTTGATCCTAGGTTGTTGTTGTTGTTGTTTAATTAATGGTTTAAACATGTTTTTAAAGAGTTTAAAGCCCTCAAATTAATGCTGGAATTTATTTATGCACACTACTTTTTAATTATTGAGTTAGGCTTTGATTACCCATAAAAAGGGAAAAAGGTTTTAATGACTTAAATATGATTTCCTAGTCTATTAGTGATGTTTTTATATTAAATAAGTATGCTGGAATTTTATTTAAGTCATAAAAATTAGGATATTTTTTATTTTAACACCTGACAAAACCCGAAAATGGGTTTTAACACCTCCAAAAAAAAAAGTTTTATTTTAACACCTGACAAATGTTACGAAAATGGTTTTTACCACCACTTAACGGTTTCCGTCCAAAAATTCCGTTAAGTGGGGTCCACAGTGACACGTGTCACCATTTTACTTGTTTTAAAAAAATTAAAAAAAAAATCCTAAAACTACCCATCCACCCCAGCCCCACCACCGCCACCTTCTTCTCCACCCTCACCTAGTGCGGCCACCGGCGCATCCCTTCCCCTCCGTTTACCCGACCCACCAGAACCCCTCCCCTTCCCTTTCCCTAGCCCTAAACTACCCTTAACACCGCCATCAATGGCCGAATTCAGCCACGAATAAACGGCCAAAAACGGCGACGAATTCAGCCATTAATGGCGGAAATCGACTGGTTTTGGGGCTGAGTGGCCTTAACCAGCCGATTTCGGCCATCAATGGCCAAATTCCTGGCCGTTCTTGGAGTAACAACCATAAACTCAGAGCAAATTGAAATTCGTGGCTGGTGATGGCGACGGGCAGGTGGCGGCTGCAGGTGATGGCAACGAATTCTGGGTTTATGCGTGAGGTGATTGAGAGGGGGGAGGTGGAGCTGCTGTGATTGAGTGGGTGGGGATGGGTTTAGGTCGGCCAGTGAGGGAGGGGGAGGTGGTGCGCCTGTCGTTGCGTCGCCGGTTGTGGGTCAAACTGAAGAAGAAGGTGGCAGTGGTGGGGCGGCGGTGGGGCTAGGGTGGCTGGGTAGTTTTAGGTTTTTTGTAATTTTTTTTATTTTTTTTTTTTTTTATTTTTTTTTTATTTTTTGGCCAATAATAAAGCGACACGTGGCTCATGAACCCACTTGAAGGATTCCTAAACGAAATCAGTTAAATGGTGGTAAAAACCATTTTTATATTTTTTGTCAGGTGTTAAAATAAAAGTTTTTTTTTTTGGGTGTTAAAAACTATTTTCGGGTTTTTGTCAGGTGTTAAAATAAAAAATATCCTAAAAATTAAGTGTTTTTGAAAGGATTTGAAGTACCCACTTAAAGAAAAGGTTTTATGGCTTTTATGTCATTAAATTGAGTTAATTAATAAGGTTTAAAGAGTATTATAGTTGCTGGAAATTTGTGAGAATAGTAGATTAATTATAGTTATGTATTCTTATTTGTAGGAAGCTTCGAGCTAGGTGATTTCTAGCGAGTGTGGCCGAGTTTAGGGATTATTCAAGGTACGTATGTGCACAAGAATATTTGTGTGTGCGTAGTATCATGTTAGGATTTGTAAATTATGATTTAAGTGATGAATTAGTAGCATGTTTGGTTGATTATATGCTTGGATTTGACGTTGGTTGAGCATGAATTGTTATGCAAGCATGTGAATATGTTATTTGAGGCATGATAAAAGTTGAATATGTATGAATCATGGAATTATGTTTTATTTTTTAGTATTAAGAAGGCATGTATTAAATAAGCAAGGTTTCTATATGAATTAAAGAGCTAAAGTTAGAATTATTAAGCATTATTCATGAGTTTATTTCTCACCCATTTATTATTGGTGTTGAGTCAAGAAGTTAGTTTATTTATTTACTCACTCATGTAAGTTGAGTTTGAGTCAAGGAAGTTTAGTAGTGCATTTTATGTACCGAAGTAGTAATCGTGCAATTTTGTGCACAAAACTAGACAAGGAACCTTAATTAAAATAAATAGTATGTGCTCACTAATTAATTCAAGAATGAATTGGAAATATGTATTGATTGTTTCTATATTTGTTCTTGATTGATTGGTTTGAGTCATCACAAGTTAAATTGGTAAATCACGTAAAGTGTAAGAGGATACACACCAAAACTCTTGGAACGTATATACCTTGAGTATGAACATATGGGGGGGGGAGTTATGGGTTTTTATATTTAACCATAGCTTCTACAGGGGTACGGGACGCTGTACTTTCTTTTATTATTAATGCGTTGGAATTCCATCACAAGGTGACATAGTAGGAGCCAATTGGGGTAGCTCCCTAATTGGAAGCTCAATATTTAAATGGGCTATTTTGAAGGAAGGAAACCCGTTCGATGCGTAATCCAAAATTAATATTAATAATTAGTTTTGCTAATTATGAGTCAAAGGTAAGTTGACTTGTGATGTGTGGCAAGCATGTTTTAATTATTATTTGTATTTTGATGCTAGGATATTCATGTAAGTGTAGTACATATGTACTCAGCTTTTGCTGATTTATCTTTTGTGTTTGTGTTTGGCTTTCCTTTGGTTTGGCCCTACTATGACCCATTTATATGGTGAGTAGAGGGTTGAAATAAAGAGGAAGTAACAGGTATTTGAAGCATGAAGAACATGATGGGATAGAGTGCAGAGAGTTACTTGTTATGCTTCTCAGTTTTGATATTTTGAATTATTGATTTGCTATGGACTAACATTTTTATGTTTGTTTTTTATTGGTTTTTAAGAAGGGTCATGTTTGAATTGGTTTCAACTTGTGAATGTTTTATTTTACTTTTGTTTTGAAGTTGTGAACTCAAACTTTATTTTAAAATTTGGTTTTTGTTTTAGACTTCCGATGTGAGACTTTGAAAATTTGCCTTAGTCGTTATCACGGTTGTGGTAACATTTTGGTTATTTCCTAAAAAGAGTTTTATTTAGAGTAGGATAAGTATTTTAAAAAGAAGGAAATTTTCAGAGTATTACAAGTCGCCAACATCAGCCACCACACCCAACCCTAAAATACATCCCGTAGCCACCACACACCCACACAAACCCAACTACCAACCCCGCTGCAACCATACCACCAAAAACCGAAAACCTAAGCTAACCCACAACCACCCTATAACGCCCCCACACTAACCCAAACCACTTACCCTTAGCCAACCAAAAAATAATCCCACACCCTTTAAAATCACCCACCGACCACCTCTAGACCACCAACCTTCATCGAAATACTCACCGACCCACCACGCCCTAAATTCGTTGAAATTGGTGGTTTAACCACCACCATAAACCGCGAACTTTCCGTCATCGTTGTCCACGAGTAGATCTCCGCGACTCCGCCACCCCGATAGTTTGTCTTCGTGGGAAGAGAGAGAGAGATGGGGGTTTAGATTGAAGGATGGAGAAAGGAACAAGGTAATTGAAGAAGAACTTGAAGTTCTAGGTTTGAATTTTGGAAAGAGTTGTTGAATGTTCATTGAATTGAATTGGTTATTTAGGGGAAGTAATTAGATTTGGGGGGATTTTTTGTTTGTAAGGAGATTAGGTGGAATTAATTAGCTTAATTAAGTTGAATTAGTATTTTTATTAAGTTTTATTTTAAGTAACTAATTGGGTTTATAAAAATTTTAATAAGGGTATTTTAGTAATTTTATTTGAAAAACTTTACTGAAAATTGAAAAATTTGGAAAGTTGTAAAAAATATATAGTGGATATTTTTGGCAAAAGTTAAAAAATAAAAAAATAAAAAATAAAAAAAATTGTGAAACGGAGGTGGTAAATGATAAACTTGAAATTTCTCCTTAAAAACCCTTGATGATAAAACTCTTAACAACTCACTCAATTCACTTCTCCTTGGATATCCTCTCTTCCTACTTCAAGCTTTCTTCTTTGATGATGCTCTTGCCATAATTATCTTACTGTAAGTTATATTCTCCTCGTTTTTAATCCTCATCTTTCTTCATTTATTATAGTTTTTGCTTCTTAATCATCAATTTTATCTAAATTTCAATTTTGCATGTTTTTCTGCTGAAATATTTATCTGGGTTTGTTGAATGTACTTGAAATTCTTAACTGAAACAAAAATTTTTATCTGGTATGTTGAATGTACTTGAAATTCTTAACTGAAACATGGGTTTGTGTTTTTTTTTTTTATTGCTTACTTATTTGGGTATTATTTCAAATTTCTTCTCAATTTTCAATTTTCATGGTTGTTTTATATGTTTATTAGTGTCAACTTTGATTGTGAATAAGGTTTATTCATGCTATAAAATTAACCCTTGATGGATGTTTGTAACGGACACCGTCTATTGGTAGTGCTAGTCAAAGAAAAACTTGAATTTAGGTTTTATGGAGAAACTTATTATAGGGTAGTTTTCAATAATCTTTGATTGATACTGGGTAGTTGTTGGATAATTTACTAAATTTACAATGCAAATTTGTATTATCCTAAAATAAGTTGAAGGCTTCATGGAAAATGTTTTCTTTACCCTTGAACTTTGAGTGTTATTGTGATGAGTTGTATTTGGAATCAATATAGTATGTCATGAATTTTACAAATTTTTTCTTTACTTTTGTAGATTTATGCTCGCCATTGATGTTGCGTGTTCGATTATCGCTTCACTTATCCAATTAGGAGTTGAATGACAGATCAGATTTGTTCCAAATTATTTGTAGTTCAAGCATCTGCGAAGATACTGTCTAATTTTTGTATGATGTGTCTCATTAAGTAGATTAGCCCTCCCAGACTTAGCACCTGCCTACACCATTAAGCCAAACGGATCCTTTGGCCATATACTGCCTGTATAGAGCATTTTTCACTCTATATGTGCTGTGATTTATTACAAAGATCGGGTGCAATATCCCTTGTATACTCTATGTCCAGTGTAAATCCTGTTACTAGTGGTCTTGCAAAAATTGGATTTCAGTTAAATAAATCCACTTTTCTTCAGCGCCCTGAGTCTGGATTTATTCAATGTAGTTGTAAAATGTCAAGTGGTATTTATAATATTACTTGCTTTTGAAAGCCTTACAAATACGTTGTCCTAGCTACAAAGGCTACGAAAATTGATGATGGCGAGGTATAATCATTAGATGATGATGAAAATGCAATTGAGTTTGATTGGGGTGATGAGGAAGATGATGGATCTCCATGGGAAGGGGCCATTGTCTATAGGCGAAACCCTTCAATATCTCACATGGAATACTGCACTACTTTAGAAAGACTTGGTTTAGGCAAAATTTCATTGGAATTGTCAAGGTCTACTGCATCATCAATGGGATTACGAGTGACTAAAGCTGTAAAGGATTTTACGGATGGAACACCTGTACTTATTTCTGTTGATGTTACCCAAAAAAAGCATATATTAAGGCCTGATGGCATCATAAGAACAGTTCTCTCCCTTGCTTGCAACAGGTACTTGATTCATCTATCTTTTTTACAATTTATTGTTGCAGCTCTAATCTAGCAAACTGCTGTGAGTACTGTCTCATGTTATTCCCACCTGTTAAAATCTGACTACAATAAACATGGCTAAATAGATTTAAAGTAAAAAAAGGTCCTTGAGTTGATCTGTAAGATTGAAAGCTTGTACTGCAGCAGTAACTCGGTAAGTAGCTGCATTCTTAGATTTTGAGGTCCAGTACATGGCCTCTCTCTTCCTGGGGTGAGGTTCATAGTGGGTATAAAAGCTGTATTCTGCATTGGAGTTTCAAGTGTTGCAACTGCTTACTAGGCATCATGAATAGCTGAATTGTTTAAATATCTGAGAGTAGGTTATATATCTTTCTGGTGACTGCGTAGGGGGTGGGGTGGGGTGGGACTTTCGATATGCAAGAGCCTGATAAACTGGCAGTTTTATTTGTTTTCAAGAGGATAGGTTGGCTGTAGAGTGTACTTGTCTTTCAAATTCATATTAACGGAATATAATCACACTCAGTCACTATTGATTGCTTTGTTCCAATGGCAAATGTATACTTGAGCATGGAGCTTATGCACATCCACTCACACAATTATATTAGAAGGTTATCATGTATTCATATTGTACACTTTCAGCCAATTCTAGGTAACCAAATCTTATTTCTTAAATGATTTTTTTTTTAAGGTGCGGTAGACCAGCTGCTGAAAGTGTATTTTCCAACTTCTCTCTATTGTTAACCGAGGAACCTGTGGAGGAGCCGAAGGTCATAAACATGGGATTTATGTTTGGTGAAGATAAGTTGAAGAGTTCTGCTAGAACTGTTAATGAGGAAGAAGATGATGATGACGCATTAATTGATCTGGAGGATAGGCTTCATTTTCCCCCCAAGAGAAAAGAAATTGACGTTTCCAAGCAAATTCGAGACCTGGTACATCTAGAGATCACCATTAATGCAGTATGTGATCCCAAATGCAAAGGCTTGTGTCTAAATTGTGGTACGAATATGAATACCGGTGTCTGTGATAGGCGTGTCGCGTACCTAACAAAAATAATCTAACAAGACCACTACTATGTAGATGGGCAAGTAAGAATTGAATCCCAAGAGACTAAGGTTCACCTAATTAAATAGACTCAAAGAATCGCTACGCAAGTAACAATCAATGGTGAAATATTCTAATAACTAATATATAAAGAACTCAATAAATCTAAAGAATGTGATAAATCAATGAATTAAAACATCCAAGATCAAGTATCACCACAATTACGATCGATGCAATTATCTATCTACCCCTAGCATACAAATCCAATTAACATGGGGAAAAGCAAACCCTAATCAATACTAAGGACCTATCTCGAGTATCAATGGCTTTTCTAACCACAATCAAGCCTATTCTCATGGAATCATGCAAATTAGAGACATTAAACACTTTACTTCGCTTCCCAATTATCAATTCAACTACTCTCGTGATGAATCTCAAAATCCATCGTTAAAACCCAACTTTCGTTGTGATTAAAACTATGGAATAATAACAATACTAATTAGAGAATTTAAAGAATCAATTCATGCATCAATCACAATTGGGCTACCCTAGATCTTGGAATATAAAAACTACTCACACATATTGAAATAAGCAATAGTAAAAATAATCAAAGAAAACATAATTAAGAAATAAGGGATGAAAGGAAAATACCAAATCTTGAAATAAATGGAGGTTGCAAAAGTAGAACTTGAATCTTAAATTACAAAAGCAACGTAAAAGTTTTAGAGAAAACTAGGTCTAATAAGGAATGCTCGATCGTGAAATATAATAAAGTTTGGGGTATTTATATTCCCCACAAAAAAGATAAGAAAACGTAAGAAAATTCAGCGCATAACCCTCCTAAGAGGCACGAACGTGCCTCACTTCGAGTAAGGTTCTTCTTATCTTCTGGACTCTAGGCACGGACGTGCCTATATTGGGCATGGACGTGCCTCATATGCAGATTCGAAGGTACCAGCAGAGACACGGACGTACCGCTATGAAACACAGACGTGTTTCACTTCCAGAGAATTTCCCTCAGTTTCTAAGGGTCAGGCACGAACGTGCCTAAGCTGGGCATGGGTGTGCTTCTCTTAAACATGGTCGTGCTTGACTCCAAAAAGGCCTAAGTGAATCATTCTTCGACCAACGAGCTTCGTGAAGGTCCGTGGCCTCGGTTTAGTCTCTATATTAGCTTCGTTAATCCTGAAATACATCAAAAACAACGAAACTACCCATAAAAGCATCGAATCATCGAAACTAAACCAAATCAAACCAAAATGAACTAAAATACTAAGCTAGACTAATAAGAACAACTAAAAAGAGGCTAACAATTATGCACAAAACACGGCTTATCAGTATGCAGTTGTAGCAAACAGGAGACAAATGGTGTGGGTTATGGGCCTCTTGGGGAATTAAGGAAGAAAATGCAGCAAACATGATTACTTCATTAGCTATAGAACTTATCTGAGGGAATACAACTAAAGTTATGAGTGTATTCTCTTTTTGTACCACCTGAAAACAGGGCCTTTTTTTTCCAAGAAATGAGAAATTGCCAAATTGGTTTTATCTGTGAATATATGCTTGTTTATCTGCCACAAAATGAATAATTTTGGTTTTTCTTTTTCAACTTGAAAATTTGCAAACTTACAACAGTAATCTTACTGAGCTTTCCATAATTAGCCTGGGTATATGGTTTTGTGTTATCAATTGAAATCGTCAATTCCATAATTCCTGTAAGTGTGCGCTGAAACAAACGCTCTCCCTAAGGCCTACAAGTGTGCACAGAAGCATACACTCCTGAAACGAACAACTGATGATCGTCAATTCCTTAATGCCTGCAAGTGTGCGCTGAAACATATTCACCTGAAAAGAATGAGAATGTCTTAGAGGTAACTTGAATTGAGCTGAAACAAAGTAGGCAGATTCTAAACATTTTGTCTAACAGTGAACATGATGTAGTATCCAATCATAGATGCCCTTCAACTGATGTGATAATGGCAATCTAACACAAATCATAATAATTGGATTAAAGCTAAATACAAACGGCAAGCCCCTATATGTATCCAAAATTCCAAATATCAGGAAGCACACCTTGATGTTTTGTAAGCTTAGTGCAGTGTCCATATCATATGTCGTCAACATAGTTTTCCTTTGACTCGTACATATGGTAGCTTCCTGTCCTAGATTAGAATAGGAAAAAACTGAATAATGCAGATTCACGTCCAGCATTTGAAATGCAATGAAAAATGGGCCAACAATCCAAGTGACGAGCAACCTTCTTACCTGCATAAGCTCATGCATATGGTACTCAGCATGATCAAGAGCAAGGTTACTACAGCTTCTACACATGCATAGGTTTTTGATCCCTACACATCTGTGCTATAACCCTCAATCGTTTCCTTTTCCATGACGTTCTTCTTTCTTTAATGCCGTAACATATATGCAACTCTAAACATACAACTCGATATCAAGAATAATACTTTCTTCCATCATTTTTATTTGCACTCTTCATGTTATCTTGATACATAGTCAACTAATTTAGGCTTAATCTTTTCAACCCATAGTTTCCATCATACAAATACAGCATAAATGCACATTAAGCTAAATAAGCAATGTCTAAGCAAAATTCAACCAAAAAAAAAAGTAAAATTAACTCAATTGTACACCAATAGTGGTTCCTTAATCCTTAGTCATACAACAACTCTCTATGTCTTTAAATGTCTTCATTGTTTTGACGGTAATTCTCTTACAAAATATATTTTAAATAACCGATTTTCACCGTATTGAACTGTGTATAAAGTCGTAATTTTCAAAACAAGAGCCCACATCATGTGAATTTCACGTGAAGAACTTCTATTTCTATCCTTACCTCAAAAAGCCAAAAAAAATAGGTACTCGTATCAAATTGTCATCCAAATAATCAATCAAAGCTATAAAATCCAAATGCAAGAACAAATACAGTCCACAATTTGTTTGCCATGTGTTGGCATCTCTAAAGTCCTTAAAATCTCAATAACAATTTGTCTTTGTGGACCCTCTTCTTTATGGACTTTGGTGGTCCAACCAAACCAAGTCTAGCATGCGCAAATAGATCATTCTACATGTGCCTCATCTTGACTAAAATAAGTGGATACTTGCTGTTTTTTTAAATGTTATAATTTGACTTTTTATGTATATGAGTAATATTTATATATTATAAATTCTTTATATATAATAATGGTGACTTGTACATAAAAAAATTATAATTATATAAAATCTTAATAAAATTGTCTCAATATAGGTTTTAAATACGAGTATCAACTTTAATTCATCTACATTACTCCGTATTATTTAAAGATATAATAGATCAAGGGTTTACGTTAGCATATACGACAGTTAAACCATGAAGTAGCAAAATACACTACATGATGAAACAAATGTCTCCAACAAAGACAATGTATGGAAAAACTCCAAATATATACTGTAACAATTATGAGAAAATTTGTTCCGTATAACTTCAATAAATCCAAAATATTTCCATTTTATTGCTCGGAAAATCTTCGGAACAGTAGAACTTCCTATAATTTGTCCCCACAAATCCAAAATCATGAATTTTTTGGTCGTCAACATGACAAAAGTTGCATGAATTAGTATGTTTTCCATAAACAACCACCAAAATAAATTGATCATTTTTCACGTGTTCCAAAGGGAAAAAACTATTTAGCTTTAGAGAACTTGCTAAAGTTTTTGTACAATAATTAGTTGATAATTACATCCATTTCCGCCATACCTTATTCCACTTTATTCAGAAAATATTAGTTCAGACGATAAGGGTTAATAAATTCAAATAAGATTAATTCATAAAAAAAAAAATTTCAATAAAAATTAATTAGGGCTACCAACTTCGATTCACAACTATTTTTTATAAAGTCTAATAGGTTTAGGCATGCTCACGTACAATCAAATAACTAAAAATCAGTTTAATACTCGTACTTAAATGCTCACTTTTACTTGTTTCAAATATTGAAATTATCAAACACTAGTATTACAAAATGCTCACTGAATTCAATCTCTTTAACAATGTGGTATATTGAATATACTTGTTCCTCAATCCACCCAAAAAAAAATCGTTCTGTATAACAAATTATCCATACACGATACATGTATATATATGAATGTACGTACGTATGTTCTTTTCTTCGTACAAGAAAACCCAAATAAAACTCGTAAAGATTAATCAATCAATAAAGAATCGTCCCAATACATCGAATAAATCGATCTCATTGCGAAAGAGCTCGTCGAAGGGATTGAGCCAAAAGGGCAGGGGCACTAAGGTGAGGCAAATGACCTTCAGTATTAAGCATTAGGACAGTACTTTTACCACCAAGATGATTTTTCATGTAGGTTGCTACGGATGCTGGAACTGACATATCTTTTGCTGTTTGGATGATGTAACAAGGGACTTTGACTAGTCCTAAAACACCCCTAAAATCACTATTAAAGACTGTCCTACAAACAAATAGGGATATATCTGGCCTCATGTTGAATAGTGTCCTACTAAACTCGCACACGGCTGTTGGCACGTCCGCTCCTACGGCTAGTGGTGCGAATCCGTTCACCCATGCCGTGTAGTTTGCCTCCATTGCTGAGAACACGGTCTCTATCTCGCCTTCCTCGAATCCGCCGTGATAATCGTGGTCGTTCAAGAATCTGCAAATTATAATAGTTTTCTTTACTTTACTCCTTCCGTCTAAAATTAATAGTCACGTCACATATATACGTGTTACTTTCATATATGTTATGAATAAGTAGTAATATAAGTGAAAGTGGTTGGATTTCCTAAAACAATGGCAGAATATGATTAAATTTCTTACGCTGCTAGTTAATTAATGAAAGGTGATGCATACAAAGGATAACATAACTATTCGATAATAGTATAAAAGCAAGTACATCAATCTTTTCCTACCTTATAAAAATTTTAAGAAAACTCTTATGAATAGTGCGTAATATTTATATCTCTAAAAATGTTATTTTACTTATTTAACCCCATTTGATTTTAAAAACCTTATAATTGTCTCTTGAATTTCTTAAATTGATTTAAAAGTTATATTTAATTTTAACATTTAAATCATCTTTTACTCTCTCCATTATTTTTTTGTTCTAATTTTCCTATTTAGAATTTATTAGACCTTTATATTTCAACATCGAACTCAAAATATTTTTATCGTTCAATCACTAAATCAAAGTAGTTCAACTAAAGTTTATTACATTACACAACAACATAACCTCCAACACAATTGTCGTCTATACGCAAATAGTTTTAATAAAATATTACTCAAACAGACATAGGGCATAAAAAACATTGGTAACAATTTTTCTCAAAAAGCTAGCTATATCGCGTGCGTTGAAATCCCTAGTTTTATTAAAAGGTTGAGACAGTGTAAAATTCCTCTAATTTCTTTCGGGCTTTCTAGGCAATGCATGTCAAGAGTGTCAACTAGTTTGTTATTATAGTTTTAACCTAAAAAATAAGTCACATTTGGTAAATCATTTATACAAGAACTAGTTTAGATCCCGTGCCATGCAAGGTTATTGTTAAAGCTATCATATCATTAATCATTTTGCCTTAACAAAACATATTACATCAATCACTAATTATAGTTTTATGAAGATTATTATATACAGTACACTAAGGTACAAAAGTATTTCTTGCTCATTTGATAATTAAATGAACAATATATATCAAAATACGCAAAAGATAATCTTGAGTACACATGCATTACACCCAAACAAATATAAGAATCTCCGTCACTTTTCTTGATTTGACTTTTGTACAATTTACGTAATCACATTGACCAACGTTTGTTATAATCATATCAATAGTTTTCGAACATTTGTAAAAAAAAATAGAGGGAGTATAATCTTCATATTTCAAAGGTTATTTTACACGGTAAATAAAAGAAGTTGACTCAAAAAAAAAAAAAAAAGGTAATATCCTGAATCCCTAACACATTAGCTATATTATCGACGACAATAATTTTATTGTAATGTACTCCGTAGCTCAGGTTGGATTTTTTAAAGAATAACAACAAAGTTTGATTATTGATCTAACCGACTAAAGGTTTGCTTATTTTCGACAATTGTTTAATACAAATTTTATTTATATCCATATAGCAAACCCATGGAAAGGATTAATATTGCAGTAAAAACAATACTAATCTAAAAATACCTTAATTAAAAAAAAATTATAATTTCCAAATTTTTATTAATATAAGATGTACTATTTTCCCAATCTATGTGATCTTTTTCTAATATAGATCTACTATATTTTTTCATATAGGGAAAAAAAAATAAAAAAAATCATATCAATAATAATATAGTACAACATGTCAAAAATATGTCTAAAATTTGATCACAAAGTACCTTTTTATTTATAATTGTCATTATTGTATGTTAAAAGAAACAGAGTATAATAAATCTTTTATTTTAAGTAATTACTATTTTTTTTTTGAATGGAAGTAATTACTATATTAATGAATTAAAGATAGTTATTATGTGAGTAAAAGATCTTTGTAAAATATTTTTTTTAAATAATTAAATTAAGGACATACCAGAAAATGACACGTGTCATTGCTGGTGTGTCTTTTAGTATATTGTAATTGACAAAATATTACTCTGTAAAAGATTGGGTTGAAGATTCACAAAATTTATATTTTTGCCGAACCAAAAAATGAAAATAGGGCAAAAAAAAAAAACAAAAAAAAAAAAGGGAAGGTTGTCGATCATTAAATGTGGTTTGACCAAGTCATTAAATATGCTTTATAAATGCATGAAAACAGTTGGTGATATTGCATTGGCTAAGGTTCATTAGGTGGTTGTTTAAGTTACCTTAAATATTAAATAATTCGAGCAATATGCTCTAGAAACCACAAGATTTGGAGGGTTACAGACTTACACATTATATTGCCACTTCTATATTGTTTTATATACTTCTACAAGTACAATTGTTATAAATTTTGTTTGGATCTTGGTTGTTAGTTTGTTTTCTAACTTGCGTAGCTTATTTGATCAGCTCGTTCTTGTTTCTAAGTTTATGTGGCTTATAAAACCTGTTATTAAGATAACAAATTAAATAAATCGCAACTTCAAATATACCATATAGTATACAACTTGATTTGTTAAATACTTATAAAAAATTTACAAAACAAAATCGTAATGCACGATTACTCAACAGTGGTTAGACCTCAAGTCAACAAATGATGAACGTGATTCAACATACATCTAAATTGGTAAATTATTGTCACAAAAGTTATGACACGAAGGTTGGGACAGTATTCTCTTGAGACTAAGCCACGAAATGGAAATAAGTCTACCACGATGTTAGACGATTAGACAATCCTTCAACAAAGATTAAACTACTGGTAGAAAAGAAAGATAAGAGCTAATAAACACTGTATACTTTTTTTTGACCAAAAATAACATCATAAAATGACTAAATACTAAAAAAAAAAAATAATAATAATAATAAAGAATCTTTTTTTCTTTTTTATGCATTTTGTGAGGATCCAATAGAAGAATAGAGAACATTACCTAGGAGAAGCACCAATAAGAATGAGCTTAGAGAAAAGGTCACGGCGACGTATAGAAGCAAGAATACCGATCATAGCCGAAACCGAATGCCCAACGTAGGCGCACCGGGTAACACCAAGCGCATCCAGTATGTCGAGCAAGTCATCAACGTACGCATCGAGCGTGGTATATCGACAAAAGTCGAAGAAGTCGGGGTTAACACTACCCGCACAAGCTAAGTCATAGAGTATCACACGGTAGTAAGGTGTAAAATATGGTAGAATTCGTTGCCATGCGGATTGGTCCGTTCCGAACCCATGTGCTAATACCAAGTACTTCTCACCCGTCCCTTCTACCCTTACATTTAGTGCTTGTAATAGATTATGCCCCATCGAGCTAGGAAATATTCACCAGGTACCCCTGAGGTTTAAAAGAATGCAAGATATGATCGAGTTTTGAATTATTCTTAAGGTATTGGTTTATTTCTTGGACTAGTGGGGAGAGCGAGTGGAATATATATGGTGTGATGAAGGAAGATGAGGTGTATTGGATAAGATTAGTATGAATAAGAATTAAGTTTGTAATGGGAAAAGTAATGGTGGGTAGACAACTAAAAGGGGTGGGGGTGGGGGTGGGTGGGAATGTTATCTCATTTTTATTAAACTAAAACTGTTGTGGATGTCAATTTTTGTAATTGTTGGCTGTTCTTTGTCCTTTGTTTGTACTCTCTCCATTACTATATGTTTTCTGTTTTGACTTTTATGGTCAAATTTTATAAATTTGACCAGATATTTTCATTAACATGTAAAAAACAGGATCATGTGAGATATTGTTAGATTTCATTTAATAGTTAAATGTATGTTTTTAAAATGATGTAAAATCAAATTAGAAACAACAAAAAGAGATGGAGGAGTATTTTTTTTTATATTATTTTTATCCTTAAAGTTTTCTAAATAAAATCTTTAAAAAAAATATATTTTGGAGACTAATAGGAATCTTTTGACTCTTCCATTCTTCTTTGGTTCTTTCTCCATGCTACAAATTAGTGAATATTAAATGATACATAGTGGGGCAAAAGAATTGATGATATGACCAATAAGATTAAATATTTATACATACGGTTGTATAATTGAACCTATTAGTGACATAGAATATTTATTCTTAGAAAAGTTATTCGTTCTTAGTTTCTACCATATTATTAAAGCAACTCGAGCATCTCGAAATTATTATGTATTTTTAATACATTGCATTTATCCAAATGTGATAAGTAAGGCCCTATTTGGTTCAAATTTTGGTATCGGATTCTAAGTTGGTTATTACTAAATCCATAAGATGACTAAACCTAATATAATAAAGCACTTGTGTATTTAAAAACAATTATTAAAAAAATAAAAAAATAAAAAATAAAATAAAATAAACAAAAAAAATTTCTAAATGTGGTCTTGTATTACTAACCCCCACAAAAAAAAATTGGGTTTAAATAATTGATTTTTCCGTAGTTTGACATTGACATTTAAGACATGTTTCGATTGCAGGTAATAATTCATGTCATCCTACGCTCCTCCTCATACCCCTTGATGGCTTGATGCATTCCCCTTAATCCGAGCATGTCGCTAGAATTTGTGATTAATGGCACATTGTCCTGATGATCCATCTACAAACATAACACTTTTTAGAATAATTAAAATAAAGACATACGTGGCACATTTTATAACTCACATGTACATTTCTTTTTCAGCTTTTTTTTTTTTAATCATATCCCAATACAAAAAATTATTAAGTTTAGCAATATTTCAACCTTTTTAGGATATAAACATAATTGTCTACCACTCAAATTTCATTAAATAAAAAAAATGTAATAAAAATAAAAATATTACAGATTGACCCAAGAGGTTGTTCATAGTGTCCAAAATACAGGGAGGGGCGGGGTAAAAGGAGGTTCTCTCCTTTTTTTTACTGCCCGCGCGTTGCAGAAGGCAGGAGATGCTGGCAGCAATGCTGCAACAGTAACTAAACTTCAAGAAACTACAGTCAAAGAGAGAACCCCTGATGGTTTGGAAGAAAAAGCTCTGGTACATGGATGCCAAAGACAAGCATAATTAAGACAACACACTAGTGCTTCATTCCCAGAGTAGATTTTGGATGAAAGCTGTTCTCAGAGGTAGCAGCGACATTCGAAGGTGGACTAGATGTATTCAGCAATTGTGAGTCCTGTGCAGCACCCTCGCCTTATTGAGCTCCATTGGCACCGTCATTCGTGCATGCAAGCTTGTAACACCATGTTATTCAGTCAGCATACACAGCATCACAAGTACTTCACCATGCCCCGACCCTCCACACTGACTTTTGTTGCTTGAAGCTTCTTCTTTTTCATTTGCTTAAGTTGCTGCATCTTCTTGTTCATCTGTCATTAAAGAAACAATTTTGGTTAAGACTTAAAACCTTAACACTTTGTGAACCTTTTCGCCTGAATTTTACTGAGCCCATATGGCTTCTCCAGTTCTTCCCTAATGCCACAAGTGTATACAGAATTATACACACTATGTATTGACAATTATTCTTAAAGAGATACCACACAAAATCAGACATTATCTTAGCATATCAGAAAATCCTTATCTTGATCTGAACATTCTCCAGGAGAGAGAAGAACGATTAAGAGTCTCTAGAACATTTAACAAGCAGGCTTGCACAAAATAGGCACTAAATCAGGATATTTATGCATTGGGATATCCTACTGATAAAACAAAACCCCCCACAAAACAAACTACCTTCAAACGACGTTCATCTACTTGGTGCTGTTTTGCTCGGGCTCTTATCTCATCTGGGTCAATCTTAGATTGAGGACGAATCACAAAGTCCATTGGAGTTGCTTCTGGCCTCGACGCATGTAGCATAGAAGCAGATGGGCCAGCCTTCCGTCCCCTAAAACCAGATTTGAGTTGCAAAATAATATTAGGTTTAAACACATATCGAATAAGAGCATAGAAATTCAAAATTTAAAAAAACTTACGATGAGAATTCATCAAGATCATCATCTCTAGATTCCATCCCCGAAGCTTTATTTGCTGGCCTGTAAAAACATTTGTAGATATATATGAATGAAGCAAACAAAGTGGAAAACTAGATAGCTTGAAGCAAAGGATAAACATTAATGACTATTCTTGGTTCTTAACATACTTCTTGACAGAAGGTCGCCTGAAAACCCTTTCATCCTCAACATTTCTCATATCCTCAAACCTTGTGCTCTTGTTAAAAATTGGACGACTCTGCACGAGTCACATGAGCAGTTAGGAAGCATTTATATACATGAAAACCAAACTATAAAAGTCACAACATTTATTCAATAACCAGTAGTTGTCTAACTTGTCTTTCATAAATTCCTGAAGAATCTAAATGAACTCAGCTCACTATGCTGAAGCAAAGCCCACAAATGTAACAAACTTTGTAAACGGAGTTCAAAAGTGAATGCCTGTTGTCTATCAGGGATCTAAAGAAGTAGCAATTGGAAACAGTCTATAAAGTGTGCTCTTGTTAATAAGTCCATAAGAGATGAAATGAAGTTGACAAAGCTGAAATCACTCCCACCACACCATAGATGAAGAGTTGTTAATCAATCCACAACATAAAACTTAAAGTCTTTTAACAACCTCTCCTTCATTCCTTCCAAAATAAGGAAAATCTCTCCAATCATTACTGCCCACTTATGTGTTGAGCTACTGGTTGACACAGTGATCAATGGATCATAGACTAAGTTGGCAACATGACTGATAATAATAACAAACAAAAAGACTTGAAAGTTACAACACTAAGTCACTTTCACAAGTCAGCTCCTGTGTACTCCGTATAAGAATCACAATATGTAATAGGCAGGGGATCCAAGGGTGGAGATATCACGTTCAGTTCTCAAAGAGTAGTTAAGAAAGTGTGAGCATATAACTCTTCTCTTTTGCTTCCACAGAGGGAAAAAAAAGAGGGGCGGGGGGGGGGGGGGGGGGGGGGGGGGGGGGGGGGGGGGGGGGGGGGGGGGGTGGTGGGAGGGGCTTAGATTTAAACGGAGCAAAGGGTACTTGGGGGTAGGCACATGACAACGACAAGCGCCCTGTGTGTGTGTGTGTGTGTGTGTGTGTGTGTGTGTGAGAGAGAGAGAGAGAGAGGGCTTCAGAAATACGGAGTACCAAAGTAAAAGGCCTTTAAGAGATAAAAAAAATTAAGCCAAAGAGGGGCACATAAGCTAGTTGTGAAAGACCTTTAAAAAGGCCTTTATAACTCACTTTATAAGATGTAAAAATGGTGGAACAATGAAAAGCACAAAACTTCTGTACAGTGGCATGTCAAATAGGAAGAGTAAAATAGTGAACCAGTCTCCAGATCAAAGAAAAAGGAAAGAATAAAAGAGATGAGAAGAGCAAGAGTGTGCATTGAAGAGAGTGTGAGAGAAGGTATAAGCCGTATAACTGCAGACAGAGTGAGAGATACGAGGTCAAAGAGAGAGAAAGACGGAACTCTCCACTTGCCATTGTCGGCTACCAGAGCTATAGTGCCAGTGATAACCAGAGATGGCTGGCCGGCATTCTCTGTCATAGCCAGCAAGTTCGAGACAATCAATTGCAATTAAGTCATGAATCGGTTGTTTTGTTTTGGTAAAATTCCAAATACATCAGCAGAGGGCAAGGAGAGGGATTGTTCACTGTACCCAAATTAGATTGCCAAACACTTAAAATCAACTTACCCATTTATCAACCAAATCCTTGGCAAGTTTCCTGTTTGATGTTGTCTCTTCTTCTGACCTTGATAGAAACATAATGACCTGCACATAAAAATGTCAAATATGATACCCTTTTCTTCTGAAACTCCATTATTCAAGACATTATCACAGTCAAATCAGCAAGTTTAAGCTTTAGACCTTTCCAAGTCCGCTCTTCTTCAGTTGTTCTTTTCTATCATGTTGGTCTAAATCAATTGGATACTGAAATACACAAACATTAAGTGAGAATCTATATCAAAATTGAACCAAGAACCTAAAGAAAAGCATGACAAAGTGCATTGTGTAGTACATCAGTCAAGATCCTCAATATAGCTTCACGTATATTAATGTTGGGCAGGCTTCCATCAGGAAGTGGCTCGAGCCAATTTTTTAATAATGTTAAGACCCCATGATCGAGAAATTCAAGTTGGAGTTGTTTCCTACAACAATACATAAAGATGGATAGTAAGAAATTATTTTCCTTCCGGTAGAATTTCAAAACAGAACAGTGATGAAGAAGTAACAAAAAGAGCAGAGAAAGATAATGTCATACTTGGAAAGAGCCTCAGTAAGAAGTGGTAACTTCCTGAGCTTATTGATGGCTGGTTTCCCTTGTGTATTTAATACAGCATCTTCTTCAGCTACAACTTCAAGTTCAGCCATAAGTGTCTCCACCAACTCTGCGATTTCTGCAGCACTTTTCTCATTCTTCTTCTTCTTCTTACCTGACTTAAACATATCCTCTTCCTCACCCTCCTCTGCCTGTCAAAAATAAAACTTAGAAATTAATGCCAATACCAAAAAATTAGTCCTTTGAGAAGCTACATATTGTACTCCATATTGAATCAGAATATATTAAATGGTAGTACGTGGGAAAGATAGGGAGAGAAAGGGGAAGGGGGTATTGGAAGCATCTGGTAAAATCATTTGCATCACTTGGGATTTAGAGGCCAAAATATTTAGATGCCTTCTAAGAATTGATCATGCCGAATTTGCTATATACATGATCCACACAGTGAGCACCAGTATCAAGAGCATACCTGAGCAAAGCGACTGGGCGAAGCTGCCTCACGGTCACTGACATACCTGTCAGCAGGATCCACACCGGTATCATCAATGAAATTATCATCATCTAGTGTCTTCATACCCTCTTGGTCATCCTATTGATGTCAAAAACACAAATTAATTAACATTTAATGTTAAACAGGTTTAGTAAGAGTGCTTACAGTTAAATCTAGAAGATATAGCAAAGTTGAGTGCAGAACTCTTTATCAAAACAAACAGTTACACCCAGGTACAAGCCAAGTGCATCACAGATCCCAAGAATAAACTTCATCTCATATTCTAAAGGAAGCATAATGCTCTCATCAACTAAGGGAAGCAAATCAAATCTAGTTCTGATTTGCCATATAGACGCAATAAATCACCAACGAATAAACTTCACAACATTATTGCAATAGAATATGGAGTACAATGGACCAACAGTGTATGTTGGAGAGTAAACTGAAATACCAATACTAATTTAGCGTAGAAAAGACATGAATCTCACAAACAAGAAGAATAGTTCAAATGAGGACTAAAAACCACTCTCATAAATTGAACCCCATAAACAATTGCCCAAACATAACTAGTTCTGGAAAGGGCAACAATCTTATAAAAAACAAGATCCCACACTAAGCTAACACACTGAACTACTGAACTGCAGCCAAGAATATGCCTTTTATCTTCTCATACTGCAAAAAGTAAGCTGTTTTTCTATGAATTCATAAGTCCAGCATTCGCAGATGCAAATTATAACTCTTCCTATCATCTCAACATTGTCAAAGTAAAACCGAGTTCCATTTTACTCCAACTACTATATTTCAATCTAGACTAGACTTCATAAGTCTTTAGCAACTGGTATTTTAAAGCACAAATTAAGAGCCAACTACATGGAAAATATAGAATCAAGCACAGTTCAATAGAGCAAAGACAATTACTTTTAATTAGCAGCAAACCACAACCTATCAACAGCTAATAACTCTGCAACACAAGAAGATGAAAAAACATAAACACTATGAAGTCAAAAATATGACCTCAGAATTACCACCAGCAATGGTATCCCACATCTCCTGCATCTCGGGATCACCCTCATCGCCACCGCCTTTCTTACGCCTCAAACTCAATTTCGCCTTACTATGATCCCTCACACCACCACTACTACCACCACCACTTCCAAATTTATACCTCCTCAACTTCTTCTCTTTCCTCCTCTTCTCCCCTCCTTCCCTCATCATCCCTTTATCCTTCCTCTTCTTCGATATCATCGACGAAGACGGTTCCTCCTCCTCCTCATCATCAGGGAAAGACCCGTATTCGGGTTCAACCCCATCATCTTCATCAGCAAAATCATTGAATTCAGGAGGCACAGAAGCCTGATCATCACTCTTCTTAATAAGCCGCTTTCGGGTTTTCGTCTTCGGCTCCTGGCTCCAATTCCCATTCTCTTCATCCTCTTCATCATTAAAATCCGGGACATCGTCGTCGATTGGTGGCAACTGTGGTTGCTCATCATCTTCCGATTGGATATCATCGTAGTCCATCAATGGCTCTCCATCATCATCACGATATCTGAAAACAATAAACCAAAAATAAAAATTAAAGATTAGATTTTGAAACCCTAATTCGAGAAATTACAATCGAAAAAAGTAGGAGAAAGGGGGGAAAAGCAGAGAAAAACTTACAGATCATCTTCGAACGCCATTAATGAATGGATTGACTGAAGATTAAGCAGAAATTATGGTTCGATTGAAAAATTGTGGACAAATAAAATCGAATTTGCAGAATATTGGAGTTGAAGAAGAAGAAATTGGGGGGGGGGGGGGGGGGGGGGGTTGGGTAGATATATAAATAATGGAGCTTGTTAGAATATGAAAAGTTATATTAAGAGTGTGCCTTATTTTTATTTATCTTATTTTATCTAAACTTAACTAAACTTATTATTAAAATATATTTTAATTGTAATTTGTATTTGGATAATCTTTATCATAACTTAATTTTTCCTAAATTAAATTTATCTAAACTTATTTTTTCTAATTGAACTTATCTGAACTTAATACACCTAAAATAAGTTGAAGAGAATAGGCCCTAAGTGTGTTTGGTCTATTAAGAAAATCGTAAAACATGGAAATTTTAAATGACTTAGGGACACTTAGGTAATTTAATCCATACATTATGTAGGTATTCCAAATTTCTTAGAAATTTTAACTTCTCCCATTTTGCACTTTTTGGGTTAACCAAACAATAATTTTAATTCTTAGGATTTATGAGTGACCATAGAAAGTTAGTCAAACAAAAAAAAAAAAACCTGATTATATCTCATATTACAAACATATTTTAAAATACTTCTTCTGAATTTGGTTCAACTTTTCATATTCATTTACTTCGACACGTCGGATAAACCGCTAAACGGTTATAAATTGCGAAAATAGTAATACATTTGTAGGTACTCATAATTTTGTAAGGAATTCCTCTAAATATTATCATGTCAATGGAACTTCATCTATAAACATGTGTTTTTGTTCACAACTTTTATTACCACACAACGCCGCCTATAATATGGTATTGGATGACAGTGGTAATGGAAATTTGTAATGAAAATGAGGTATACAGGAAGTGACTACCACTGGCATTAAGTCTAGTTCACAACTTTAGTTATTAAAAAAAATACAAACTCTTAAAGTTCACATTAATTTATTTATGGTGGACCACTAATATTAGAGACATTATGGTCGTTTTATTAGATTAAAATAAAAGTCATTGTGTTTATTATAAATAAATGTCATATGAAGTTTTTTTTAAAAAAAATTTTATATGAAAGTTTTAATATACTAGGCAATGTGAATAATAGAGTATGTTAACATATTAATATACTATGTTAATATCAGGGTCACTATGTTCAACATAACGCCCCGACACTTATGTACTTCAGGTTCACATTTATAATAATATTAAAGGTCACACAAATTTTGATAAAGGTCACTATGTTAAAATTAGAATCAATATGTTTAACATAACGTCAGTTGAGTACGAATGAACCTCAAATCCACAATAATATTATTGTGAGCCAGATCCACACAAGTTTTTTCAAAAATATCTAATGGATTAATGATCCAAAGTATAATTTTCATGTTATAAGTCTTCTTCTTCTTTTTTTTTTTTTTGGGTAATTTGAAAGTTTATTTTTCTCCTAAATACTCTATTTAATACTTTAGACCCAGTTCTCTTCACCTTACACAAAATAATATTAAATACAAGTAAATATTATTTCAATTTATTATAAACAATTTAAGTTCATTAAAAATAATTTCAATTTAGTAAAATTAGTTTCAATGCAGTAAAAATAATTAGAAAAATTGTCAAAAATAATACAAATTTTGAGCGCTCCGCCAAAACAAGACAAACTTTTGATTATTTCTAAATAACACAAACATTAAGGGGTTTCTGCTTTAAACGAGACATTTTACCTACAACCTAAATAATCAGTAAACTTTTTTATTTTTTTTTGATGAATCCACTTAACAATTTAATTAACAATTAGTCAACACTTAAACCATAGTTAATTAATTAATCCCTACCTTATAAAAAGTTCAACCTTACTCTTATGAACAGTTGTGACATTTATAACCGCGAAAGAGCGTATTTACCAATTTGCCCCCATTTGATGTTAATTTTTTTTTTCACCCTTGCCACCTAATTAGTGATTAACTGATTACCATCTCTCTCACTTCATCTCTCCATTATTATCATCCCAACTTATCGGATTCCCTGCAATGAAGAATGCATTCCCTTTATCATCTTACCATTCAAACCAGTGAGCTACCGCTCCCACCGAAAATGAAGCAGAACCTCGTCCGCTGAAAGTTCACTGGAAAATCTAGAACCGTTTATGGGGGTTAATGCTTGAAATTGTCTTCCTTTCACTGGGATTATAGAGGGGATTATATTGATGTTCCTCCTACTGGTTTTAAGCACAAAGTCACTGATAATCTTCAAAGGTAATACCTTTTTTTCAATTTTAATTTCAGTTTATTTTCTAGGGTTCTGATTAATTCTGGGTATTATTCCATTAATGATTTCAGGATCTCGGTATACATTTATTTTCCCTAAATTTGATTGGATTTTGAAAAAAAAGAAAAGTGGGTAATTGAAGTGAATGGAGCACCAGGTACACAATATACCAACATCAAGTTGATTTTCCTGAGCATTACCCCATGGAAGCCCCTCAGGTCTCTTTTTATTCTTTTCAATTTGTTGTTTTCATATTAATTTGCTTTTCTACAACACATTTTTACATTTATATGTACAAAAAATTTGTTATTCTTGTTGTTGTTTGACAGGCAGGTGATTTCTTCACCCCGCCTCCAATTTCCCTCATATATACAGTAATGACCCTATATGCTAAGGTAAACTCTTATTTTTGAGAATTTGATTTTAAGGTTGTTACATTTTTGTAAATTTGCATAATTTATACTTATCTTGTATGTTCTTCTCATGGTAGTGTATATCCCATTATATTGTTTTCGGAACACTCTAGCGCCATTGGGTTTTTTATCAAGCACATTATTTGATCTCATGTTTGGCTGTTGTTGGTATCAAGTTGAGCAGATTTATCCCTTTATAAGTGTTGTACAACATTCCATCACTTGTTTTGTTCTGAAAACATGAAATACTCTTTAGCTAATAGGTCTCTCTATTAATCTGATTATATTCGTATCTACCGATTATACCTGGTGCTGGTGGTTCTTTCCCTACTAAGATAAGTTTGGATGTTTTGTGCTTTGATTTGACTTGGTAATCACCTAGATTAGTCTTAACTCTTAAACCTTTTATTCCTTTCTATGACTTCATAATTCTGCTATATGTTATGTTCTGTGCTAAGAAGCTCATTGATTAATTACAACTCATTCAACTCGATTAAATTACGAGTCTCATGGGGTGGGTTTATCCATTTTGGTCAATCAATTTGTCTTATAATTCTTTTTTGCCTGTATGACTTCATAATATTATTTTGATGAGCTTGTGGCTTTAGGTATAATATGTTTGTTTCCATTTTTGCATTGGACAGAAGTCCTACTCCCTCTCCCATTGCACGTCTCTTTAGTTGGTGAAAATTTTAGTTATGAGGGTTGTCTCGCTATTCAATTTATCATTGACTCGCTGAACTGATAAATCTAATTTAATAGCAATATCTGATATCTGTTGCTCTGATAATGCAGTTTTCTCAATTAGTAATTTGTTCATGTTATCGGAAACTAAGGGCCTTGGGGCTCTCCTAATGATGCATGGTTTATAAGAAGATAAATGCGCTAATAAGCAATCGGGGTGTTTCCATTTCTAAACACTAAATAAAATCACGAGCAGTACCTTTAATATTTATTTCACTTTTTATGAATAGTCTTTGTGTCTTTGATACGCTGATGGTATGGTTCATATAAATCCTTTTTTGTCTGTAGCCTTGAAAATGTGTGTAAATTTAGTTATCTGTATGACATTTGGCATGTAGGAGTGTTGTTTAATGGTTAGTCATAAGAATCCATCTTAGCTTGTAAGTTATTGTTGCATTGTAATTCTTTTCATATTCCATTCATTCAAATTTACCATCACTTATAGTTTATTGTAATTATTCTCAAATTCCATTCATTCATTTGGTGCCATCAATTCAATCTTAATTAAAACTCAATACGTGGTAGAGTTTGTAACTGATATGCATGCAAATTTAACCAAAATGTTTTATAATTGAGATTCTAATTATAAATATGTACTCTTATTCTTTGCATTATTGTCATTTACAATTTATTATAATTCTTTTCAAATTCCATTCATTCATTTGGTGTCATCAATTCAATATAATTAAAACCCATCTTTTATGTGTTGATGGAGTGGTAATTTAGTTTCTCCCTCTTCAATTTCATCTTCATCAATGGATGCTCTAGATAAAGTTTTTGATCCTTTGAGAAATTTCGATGAGGGCAAGAAGGGTCCAGATGAAATTGTTCTAGGTAGATGTTTTTCAAAGAAGATAGGTGAGGCTGATATGAATGGGAATATAATGCCTTTGCCAACACTGCACAGAAGGCTATAGAGACTGGATAAATATTTGAAGGAAGGAGACGAGTTGTAGTTCTCTTATCAATCCTAACCTAGCTTAGAGGTTTATTGTTAGTTAAAGATGCCACTTTTCTAGTGAGATTCTGGTGCATCCTAATCATAGCTGCTATGTTTCGTGATCTATCGAGTCACACAAGATATGATTCAGGGAAACTCTAAGGCTATATTCTTGAAGTCCTGTAATTTTAGTGTAGCTGATGTACGTAGTCTAAGAATTATGAAGTCTTTTTGGTGTTTGCTTCTGTATATGTATTCTGTATTTATTCTGTTGGATGTAGCATTAATTTGTCTAAACTCCAAAAGCTATTATGTAAATTTTTGATAGCAATTGTTGTGTCTCAGTCATTTTCCTGCTCCATCGGTTTTGTGTTTTGATTTTGTCTGCTTCGTGGAGACATGATCTGCATCTAATAAGCATTAGCTTAATAAATTACTGTATTTCTTTGTAGTGTTAAGTGGAATTAAGCTAACCTCAAGATTGGCTGCTTTGGTTAACTTATCTCTTCTTGGCACTCTGTTATTAAAAAAAAATAAAAAAAATAAAATAAAATAAACCCTCAGTTAATTACATTGGTCTTAAGATACCAAACTTGAAACTTTGAGAATGGATATTGGATCATATTAGATACTACCTTTGTTTCTTATTATGTGTAACAAATGGGTATTATTTGTGAGACAAAATATTCACGTAAGAAGAAACTGTGGTAGTATAACAGAAATACGAAATATAAATTTACATTGCATTAGACTTGAGCCAAATCCAAACTTAGATCTTCGAGACCTAAGATTGCCAACTACTCATAGGGTACCCAAGAACAAATTAATATAAAATTTCATATTCCTTTGTTTCGCTTTGTTTTTTTAGCTTGTAATTTATATCAATTTTTATTCTAGAGAATCAACATACTCTTTCCGATACATAAGAAAAGGGTAATAAATATATGTAGCCCTTAAGCTGGACTACAAGGGCTATATATATGCATTAAATAAACTTCATATAAAATTTGAGAGTTCATAACAAAAATATGCTTAAGTGTTGTTTATTACCTGCTATTTAGTCTTTCTCTTATTAGCTTTTTATTGACTTTGAAGCATGATAACCAATTTGTAATTTTTTAAATTTCTTATAAGTGAAATGCAAAAAAATAACTTTTATACCATATTGAATAAGCCATTTCACGCGCAAAATGCTTACTAATTGTAAGCTTTATAACTATGTACGTCATACAAGCTATTAAAACACTTTACATTGTTATACCTTTTCCAGTCTGCCACATAAGACGAACATAACTAAATTAAGTGACCACCCTTACAGTATAAAGACAAGCCATGATAACTTATCCGCATTGGCTGGACATATCGCACGCATCACGCGCGTTGACCACCCTAGTAATTAGGAAAATACCCACTCCTCTTCCCCACCACCAGCCACTCCTCCTCCCCACCACCAGCCACCTCTCCTTCCCCCCGGCCACCAGCTGCTTCCCTCTCCCACTTCCACCCTCAGTGGCGCTAGCCCAGCCGCCTCGCCTTGCCGTCGCCCTCCCCCTCCTCCAAACCACCATCACCGAACCTCCCTCCCCATGAAAATCCACGAAATCCCCCTCCTTCCCTACGAAAACCCACAAAAACCCCTTTTCCCACCCTCGAAAACCCTAACCAATAGGGTTTCATGGGTGGGCGAAGGGAAATTGGGGGTTTCGTGGGTTTTCATAGGGAAGGAGGGGATTTCGTGGGTTATTGTGGTGGGTGGGAGTCGGAGAAGGGAATGGGAGGAGTGGGGATGCCGGAAATGGAGTCAATTGGCGCAGGGGAAGGGGTTGAGCCGCCGACAAATTGTCGTCGGAGGGCCGAGCATCGGGGAAGGGGGATGGGCAGGGAGAGGAAAGGGTGGCTGGTGAGAGGCGTTGTTTTTTTTAAAAAAAAATAGTAATAATAAAATTTAAATCTTAAAAAAACATTTAATAAATAAAAAAAATCAAATTTAATTGTCAAACCAATAAAATAATGACACGTGTACCATATACTTATTAATCAAGTCACTAACCGGTCATAACTTGTTTAAAGCGAATACCCCCCAAAATTTGTATTATTTAGAAATAATCAAAAGTTTGACTTGTTTTTGGCAGACCGCTCAAAGTTTGTATTATTTTTGACAATTTTTCCAAAATAATTTAAGTTGAACAAAAATAATTTCAATTTAATAAAATAATTTTAGTTTAGCAAAAATAAAGTAAAAAGTTAACATGCTTTAATTTGCAACACTTTTTTAACCAACTCTTATATGTGGTTAACCATCATGGGGGTTAATTTATAGAGGTTACTCAGTCAGTGTTACAGAGGTTACTTCATTAATCGTCAGTGATATATAGGGGTTACTCGGTCAATGACATAGGGGTTACTCAGTCAGTATTACTACAGTTACTCCATCAATGTTATATGGGTTACTGTCACAGTCACTTTGGGTCGACCTAGGCAAGGCCATCGACCATCTCGCATAGGCGCGCAAGGCCTTCGGGATCTCACTTGCCTACGTGAGCGAGTGCATACTCGGTTCGGGAAGAACGAGCCAAGTGAGGCTAAAGTAGCTCACAACCATGTCTAAGGCTTGTGGGGTTATCAGGGATAGCTCCCAAGTGCTTAGGCCATGGTGCTAGCAAGGGCTTGATCAGCTAGGCCTTGGGCCTATGGCTACCACGCGCGCGCACACACTAAAAGAACCTCGGAGTGTTTGGATGAGCAAAACTCCATAACAACCTTTGGTATTGATTGAGGGGACTTATTAGGACCCTAAAAGATCATACATGGCCATAGGGCCAAGGTTGGGTTTAGTAATTGGGTTTGAGAGCCCATTATTGTGTTACTGTGTAACACCCCGTATTTTTATACGTATTTTTGATTTAAATAAGTATTTCTTAAAATATTTAAATAATTAGAATTGAATTATTTAGGGTTTTTAGTTACTTTAAAAAGAATGATTTTTATTGAAAGTGTATTTTTAATTATTTAATAATCTTGAAAATATTTTAATTTATGATTTGGAAATATTGAGGCATATTATTTTATAAAAGATAATTTTTAAAAGTCAAAGTTTTAAAGAAAGTCAAAATCCTAGTTTGAGTAGGAAAGGGATTATTAAGGGTAGTAAGTAGGAGGTTATGAGAGAGGGTATAAATACCCATCATATGCCTAGGGTGGAGTGCACCCAAAGGTAAATTCTCTCCCTCCTCTGATTTTATTCTTCCCTTAATTTTTTCCCCTTCCCCTTTAATTTAATTATTTATTGTTTAACCACCACCACACACGCCCGGCCACCACCACCACCAACCTTCGCCGGCGGCAGCAGCCACCAGGCAGCGCGGCAGCAGCGACCTAGGTGGTTGCGTATTGTCTATTCTCCGTTCTTAATTTTTAATCACGTTTTAATCACGTTTAGATGCTAACTTGTCCGATTTTTACAAAAAATAAATAGTGTTTTTCGTGTGTAAATATGATTTTTTACACTCATTCCCCCAACCGTCAGACGGTCGGGGATCGCAACTTCCTTGGATGCCTCTGGGACATCCGGTTGCCTGAAGGAGAGATCGATCCCCAGGCCAGTGTTTTTTACACTCATTCCCCCAACCGTCAGACGGCCGGGGATCGCCTAAGAGGAGGCTTTTCGAGATTTGTTAGAGACGGCGCCCTCATCTACCGGCCGAGGCCGGATCAACTTGGTCGCAGAGCGAGGCGCCTTGCTCCCCTCTTGAGTAAAAAAGAAAGTATAATGGTCAACCAGTATATACTTCAAAAAAAAAATACAAAGGACTAAGGGACGGGCGCATATACCTTATTTTTTGCCGCCTGGGCAGCTTTCTTCTTCTCCGCATTCTCCTTGCGGATTTCAGCGGCTGATTTTGTAGGAGTCTTATGTGGAGGCAACATTGTTAAAGTGTTTACTGCAGAAAACAAACCGTTTGATTAGGCAAAGACAAGAAAAATTTCACAAGTATAAAATAGCTAAAGCGGCATAATAGTGCCAGTTGCTCACGCGACCTACGTTTTTTAAACTGGGTGCTTAACCCACAGGCGGATAAAAATGCCTCATCTCGCAGAAACTTGTGTTTGGGTACCCAATTCTTGGGCACACTTATTAGCTCACCGGTTGAGAGGGCGGTTGGGGTGAGTTCAAAGAGCCCCGCCTCTATAATCCTATTATAGTCCTCATTTGGGACTTAGGGCATCTTGCATTTTTGCCCAAGCAGCTCAGGCTTTCGGTTGTAGGTCCTAAGCTCGCGGTTCTCCTCTTTTGTGGGAGCGAAAACTAGATAAAAGCGGTTCTTCCAGTCTGACCACTTAGACGGTTTATCCAACGTCATCAAATACTGGGGATAAGTGGTCAGAGTATACCAAGCTCTCCACCCGCCTGGGCTCCGGCTTAAATAGTGCATATGGGCGAAGGCCTCCCAGCCGGGGTTTAGGCCCTACATCTCGCAGGCGGCGATGTAGCCTAAAATGTTAACCCGAGAATTGGGGGTTAACAGCCACACACCCAGGGCGTATCCTCTTAAGATGGCCTTTATGGTGTCGTGTAGAGGGAAGCGGAGGCCGGCTAGAAAGGCCACCTCATGACAGCCAAAGTACCCATTCGCATTGCGCTGGTTGTCTTCCCAGGTAGTTGTTCCCATCTCAGGCGGTACTCGAATGGTGTACCCCTCTCCTAGAGGCCGCATGAGTACAAAAATCCCTAAGTTCCTCTCCATGCTAGCCTGGTCTTTAGCTGAGACTTGGATGAGGAGGGGATCACCCTTATTATTCCAAGTGGGTCTCTCTTCCTTCTCGCTATCTACAACCGGTGTAAGATAGCTGCTGCTACTGCTTTGACCAGAGTTTGACGTAGAGGCGGTTTCTCCGCTGCTCTCATCACTAAAGGATTTTACCTCCTCAGCTCCAGAGATAGAGGCGACATCTTCGCCGCCTCCATTATTGGACCCCAGGATTCCATCACTAGGGGTGCTAGGGGTACCTCTTGGGGATTCCCTTATCATCTCAGCCTGGTTCGTTTCAGGCGGCAACTCTTCGGAGCTTTCTCCTTTATATTCCGGATCTATAGCCGTTTTTCTAGTACGAGCCATTGTGTCCTGCACAGAGACAGAGACGGTCGGATTGGAAGATGAACAAGGAGAATCCTAGTACCCAGAGGTGGCTCCCCCAGTCCTAGACTCAGCCGTACCAGGGGACTGGTTGACCTCTAAATTGTGGTATGTCGGGTGTGTGGTTGGTGAGTCCATTCACTTTTAAAACCCAAGAAAAGAAAAAAGAGAAAGATGCACAAACGAAAAATACATGAAAGAGCTGAAGGGGGTAGAGACGGTACCTCAAGAGTAAGCTGGAAAGGTAGCAGGTGTTGACCAGCTGATATAGCAGGCGAAATTCAGTAGATGGCTTGCAAGGGGCACAGGCGTTTGGCCGGATGTACCCTCTAGGAAAGCAAGTCTTTGAAAGCTTGAGCTAGCTGATGCACAGACGGTATGCCCGTATGTGCCTCTGGAAATAATGAAGATTGCTTGCAAACCCCTCAAGCGTTGCTGGCTAGCAAACTCAGACGGGAAACCGGATGAGTAAGGAAGAAAAAGACGGTTGTATGGGCAATAACAACCAGTGTCAGAGCTCTCTCTTTTTCTCTCGAAAATTTTCTCAAATTTGGCAAAGTGTGAAATGAGAGGAGGGGGGTTTCTATTTATAAAGAAACTCAGAAGGCGAACCGTCGCCTCCTCATTCGAATTCAAATCCGAATTAAAAAAAAAATAAAAAATAAAAAATATAATCACCGTCTCAGATCATGAAACCTGTCACAGGTGCCACGTGGCAAGCCACGTCCCACCTGTGAGGGGCAAATGTTTGGGGTAAAATTACCCTATGCCACGTGGCCCAATGGTATGCTGACACGTGTCAACCTCAGAGA